TCACGAGATCAGCGAGAAGACATGCAGAAGGGCCATCTGGGCCCAGTTTCACCAAGTGGGGTAATTTCGGCATGGGGTAGATTTCCATTCTGCCCCATGGGGTAAAATCCAGTTTCACCAGCTCAAACTACCCCCATGGGGTAGTTTCGGCGTCTCTTGTGAATGTTGGCTAAGCAAGCAGCATCAGCAAAACAACGGAACGTTTTGATTGGTCGAGAAATTCATTTCACGACGGCGTGAAATGAAGAACACATTTGATTTGGCTTCTTGTATTTGTCTACCAATCACCTTGGTAACGATGGCAATGGCACCTCAGTTTCCAAGATTCACAACTTTATTGAGAAAGGAATGCAATGCACAACCGCGAATCTTGATGGATAGGTTAGAGAACAATGGCATGTTTTATTATCGAATAGTATCGAATGTTTTAAAATTAATTAGTGTTTTAGTAAATTTGATGTTTATATTAGATGTTTAACTTAGATGTTTTAGATTAGATTAGATGTTTAGTGTTTTATAATTAGAATGTTTTAGTAAATTAGTGCATGTTTTACTAGTATCGAATACACCTTGCTTGGTATTTTTGACGACTTTTAACTACGTATCTTTTGCACCAGATGCTTTTATTTCTAATGTGCATTACAAAATACATACAGTACCTACAGATGCACGGCACATTTAACGCAACTTTATTGAGATATGCACAACAGCGACAAAAATAAAAAATAGATATGGAAAGTATCGAATCCACTTGGCCTGGTATTTTTAACAACTGCTTATTACGAATTGCTTGCACCATATGCTTTTTATTTCTAATGAGAATTACCTAGGTATGCACGACATTCTCTTGCTGATTTAGGTACGGCATTTTGATTTTGATTTCAGTTGTTATCGTCTTGACATTTGCTGGATATTTGCACATTGACCGTAATGCATATAAGATACCTCGAATGATAATTTGAATAGATCACACAAGTTGAAGTACAATGATCCTTTCAACAAGACACATCGTCAGCATGTAACCACCGTGAAGAATGTGCATTTTTATTGTTTATATTTCAAGGCTTCCTCATCCGGTATTCAAGGTCACTGTTGAAGGAAAACAGTTAAAAAAGTAAAAATCCTGGCATTCAGCTATGGGCGACATCTATAATGCTTCTTTTGGGTGTTGCAATGCAGATCACAAGCATAGGTGGTGCAGGCTACATGCAGTAAAATATTTGGATGAAACTTGAAGTACCTATGCTATGAATAATGCATATTCAAACATGACAGGTGATTGGACTTCAATAAAATATGTTCTTATTACTATTTTACTGTCAATTCTTGCTCACAATTCGTATCATATTCACAGATTACCCCACGTATGTCAGCCGTAATTTTGGTCGGATATTTGGGGTAGAATTGCCGGCAAACAGCTGATTGATTGGCTTGTTCAGATGCTCATGGACCGTGAGCATCTGTTTGCATGGCAAATTTGGGGTAAAATAAGAACTGCCCCATGGGGTAGTTTGGAAGTGGCCAATCAGAACCTACCCCATTTGGTGAAACTGGTTTGGGGTAGTTTCGCCGAAACTACCCCAAACAGAGCTTGGTGAAACTGGGCCCAGGTCTGTTTTGAAAAGAGTGGAGCTGTGCCTCGCTCAAAAATGGGAACATTTTGAGCACGTGCTCTTAGGAGCAAACGATGTCCGTGTGAAGATTGTGACACGTCTAAAACTGTTTTTGCTACATTATGTTGTCTTGCACTTGACCATTTGTCGAATGCATTCGAATGCATTCGACAAATGGTCAAGTGCAAGACAACACCTAATGTAGCAAAAACAGTTTTATTTTAAGTGAGACGTGTCACAATCACATTGTGCGTTGACTCAGAACTGAGCCGCTGGAGGCTCTCGTAGGTAATAAGCCTCAGGCTCAGAGAGCCCTTCCAATAGCATCTCACGGCTCACGCTCCTGGCTCGAGGATGCGCCCTTGCGCGTAAGCAGCTTTGCCAAATTATTCACCAAATAGCCCCTCTTTCTGGCCGCCTTTTTCAATGCGAATTCTGCCACGGTCGAAATGGTGGGCGCATGCCCAATCTGGGACGATCTGCAGCGCTGCCAGCCCAGCAGTCGTATGCTTATCTCACCAGTGCAGCGCTGGACTGTGCAGGCAGATGCCTTACTGACCACAGTGACCAGCAATGACACGCTGTGTCATTTCGGCCCGAAGCATGCCGACTGTCTGGTTCAGCGTAAAACTGGCCGTAGCTCGGTGACCCATGACCCGAGGTCCGTTCTCGACCTAATGTTCTGTGACCAAGGGCCGTGCCATGCAGCGGTGCAGCCGAAAGCGTTATCCCTTAGGGGTAGAAATGATTAGGAACCACATATGTGTTGTCATAGGTACAGGACAAAGCTTTTGCGGGGCCCTGTACCTATAAGCCCACCATGCAGTTTCCCTTCAATCGGCCTTGGTCCAGCAAAAATAGTCACGTGCTAACCTCTCTCCTTAGAAAGACGCTACTTGATGTTTGGGTAGAGCATAGGCTGATATTACGGATTGGCATTTGCAAGGGTGCAGCCAAGTTGGGTCCTCCCCCCTCCCTCCCCCTTTACGGCCAAGAATGCGTGATTTTTTATTTTTTGGCAACCTTATAAATAAGGTAGCAAAAATCCGGGAAGCAAATGGGATTAGGGGTAGGTTCGGTTCCGCGGGCCCCATCCTAACGAAAAACCTAATGGGCATTTGGTCCCACATTTCAGATGGTCCTGGATCCGCCCTTGTGCGTTTTACACTCGTTTCCTGTGTAGGTAGACATATGTTTCGACCCGTTTGAAAACCCGCCCGTTTTAAAACTGACCGACCCGTATTGAAACTGACCGATGGGTAGGTATTATCCGTTTTCACGACGGCCATCTGGTACACATTTGGTGCACATTTGGTGCAGATTAGGTGCAGATTTGGTCAAATTAGATCCAGTGTATCTCTGATTAGCATATCAGCTAGGGTTGCACTAATTGCTTATATGCCTGCTTTGTCATATTATCAGAGAGTAGGGGAGAGTGGGGTAAGATGCCCACTCCCAGGGTGGGAAAGACGCCCCACCCCCTCTTATAGCGGGAAACAAATAATCTAACATGAAAATTAATATTCTTAGCGTAAAGCGGAAGCCTGTCTTGCTAACTGCACAAAAATTTGCGAAGCTTAGTTGAGCAACGGTTGGCTGGTGATTGCATGTTTTTTATTTGCTGCTTTCAAAAAAATATTTTGGTGTCAAAACATTGTAAAGATCAAAGAAGGTAAATAATATTTATCTCCCTTGCTATGGTCGAGATACATTGACATACGTGTACTGTGTCCCAACCAGTTTGTTTCAGGTTGTTGTTTTATGGCTAACATATTGTACTGATTAAATGTTAATTCGGTACCTTGGGGAAAGATGCCCCCTGCCCTGATGGGGAAAGACGCCCCCCTATTTCCGTACGCTGTCCTTCAAGCAACCCGTCGAATCATTATTACATACTTGTGATGGGAGACAAAAGCCGATCTGGGACTATTGAGAGTCCAATACGGTCGGGTGCTCTCCATGCCGGTCTCTCGGCCCACACAACGACTTTTTGGGCGGCATCTGACTCTGAGAGCCCTCATGACATCCTCTGTGAGCCCCATTATTGACTCCAAGGTCCCTCACGACATCCTTTGAGGGCTCCCACGCTGGCTCTACGGGCCGCGCTAGCATCTGAGGTCCCCAGTTACTAGGTTTGTACTGTAATATATTACCTACCTAGAGTTCACCTATGCAGTTACTACTACTAGTGCTTATACATCTCGCCGAGCCGAACGACCGGCGCAGCGACGGCCAGCCGAAGGACAGACGAGGCACAGTAGAGGCACGCATTCAAACCAAATTCCACAGAAAATGGAAAAGAGGGAGACTGGAGTGTGGAGAATGCCGAGCTTACGAGTGCATACTGCATATCAAAGTCGACGTTCTCATAGAAAAGTGGCTTAGTATGGAAAACCTTCATTTGTGGCGCCGTGAATTGGCAGGCTATGTAGGCCGTGCATGTAGGTGCCTACAACAGAAATTTAATTGTGTTTACTATAAGGGTAACTAGTAATTTCATAGGGAAACGTCCTGAGAACGATACCAGGGAAAGTTTTGTCGGAATCTTTCTCGCAATTAAAGGGTTACGTGTTGCTACTTACGATGAACGATTTTATGACGATTGAGTAACAATTTGCAAAAACTGCATTTGCTTTCTCAGTCCAATTTCATCAACACATTTAGCTATGCCTATTATGTTTCATGTTTGGTTTTGCGCTACAGTGAGGTGAGACACTTAAAAAATATTTCGGCCTCATCCACTTAACTACCTACTGGTTCATTGGTTTGTACACGGCAGTGTTCCGATGAAGATAAAATGACACTTGTCAATTTCTATTTAGCTCCTACTATATAATTGCCTGTTTTCTTACACTTCATAGACATAAAAAACGTCAAATCGTCCCAGAATTTGCAATCCCATTCTTTCTCTCGCCCCGACCCCCTATACTCTACCCGGCCCAAGCGGGTCCGCCCGCGCTCCACGTGGTCCGGCCCGGCGGCTGGTGCTGTCCTCCCCTCATCCGTGCCGCTGAGCTCTGAAGCGCGGGTGCCCTAAAACCATGAATCACACCCACCCGGCCCGAGCGCCGGCCCGAGTAGGCCCGCATGGTCCGGCCCGGGCGGGTCTGGCGGCTGTGGATGGCACCGGCCTCGTCCCTATCGCGTTGTTGAGGAGTGTACCTGGCAAAGCACAGTGGAACGGGCAGCCTCATTGGTCAACCGCTAGCCAATCAAAACCGTCGCTTTTTTGAACCGCCTAAGGGCCTAATGGCGTCAGGCTCCCTGTAGCACTTAATCGCACTAACGAGCAGTCGCACTTCTGAATCTGTAGCACTCGTGTAGTATTTGCACTAATGAACTGTCGCATATTTGATATACACCCGTCATATCACCTGCAAACTCGACGAACAAGCAACGGCTAGCGTGTCCAAGATTACTTAGCGTGTCTTCAACCCATCGATCCGGCCCAAATTATTTTTTTTCGAAAAAGTTCTATGTAAATTTTTGAAAATTGACAAACATCGATGTCATGAAAGTAAAATAAGTTAGCTGAATTCGTAACGGATAAATAAAAATACTCTTGAGTGAAACATGGCGGCGCCCATGAAGCATAGGCGATTGATGCGCACGTAAAGGGCACACGGATTCACGTGTTTGGGTTATGAACAATTTGACGGACTGAAAGAAGTGTATTTTACGACTTTGACTGTTTAAATATTTGATTGGTGATTTCTTGACAAGTATATTGATATTGCTTGCCTCAAAACGCTTCTAAGCGATATTGACACCCGGCTATGACCATGACGCCAATCGGTGCTGCACGAGGTCGGAGAAGAAAACCAGCAGCTTGGGACACAACCAAAAGCGAATATTTCCTAAAATGGGATGCAATCAAGGGAGAACAGATTCAGAAGGAGTCACTTGAATTTTTTATCCATGTGAAGGATAAGCTTGGCAAACCATTTGATGATCCTGAGGATAAAGGTAACTCAAATTGACAATCCCACTTGCACTGCAGGCCTGAAAGAATTTGACTGCATTTGTTGGTCCTACTTCGGTTGCTGTGCTGGTGATGATGGGTTTCCAGTCTGGTGGAAAACATATTCCTGGTATTTTTTGGCAATATAATTTTTGTGAAGATTGTGATATAGTTGTGACTGTACTGGTGAATATTTATTAAACGTAATGGTCCGGCTGGTTGCTGCTGCTGGCTTCCACAATGCTTTGGCATCTGGCTAGGTTCCTTATTTTAAAGGGAATTTTAGGACTAGGCATTTCAGTTCATTGCTAGTTTGCATGTTATTTAACTTGATAGCTAAATACATTAGTCAGTAATGGTGTTAGGCAATATTTACTGATTGGATGCGTCTACCAAATGCCAATCAAAGAAAGGAATAAGTCATATTTTTAACATACTTAATGATTTTTTTGATTATTATCCTACTGATGTACTTATAGTTTGGGTATCATTAAAATGATTAAATGATCCATTGACCTAACATGAGCTTACTTGGTCCTAACTCTTTTTGCAGCTCTTTTCATCAGGAATGTCTTCACCCAAACCAAGGGAGAGGAGGTCCCGCTCAGCAAGAACAGTCTGGCCTCCCAGATTATTGAACAACTTATCCCAGATGTGGGAGATGAGGTTCTCCTTGATTTTTCTGCAGCGATGGACCAGCAGTTTACAGATCTCTGCGAGGACCCATTTGCAAGCCATGTCCTGCAAGCTCTCCTTCTTAGTATGACCTGCAGGATTCAGGTAACTTTTTCTTAGTTTACATCATAATAATCTGCTGTTTGGCAAAAAAAAAATCATCAATATGTACAACTTTTCATCAACAACACTAGGTCCACTTGTCAGACCAAAGATTTTGACTTATCAGTTATTATGCTATAATTTCTGTTGAATGACAGATTAATTTGCTTGTTCATTCCCTGCTTCAGGCCGGTCAGTCCCCAGTCCAGTTGGCCCTGCAGAACTGGGTGCTGGGCTGCAGCGAGCGGCTCCTGGCGCGGCTCGGCTCCCTCTGCCGACACCAGTACGGCTCTCACGTGGTGCGCACCTGCCTGGAGTGTCTGTCCGGCTGTCGCGCTCCGCAGCTGACCCGCAGTCGGCGCAGTCAGCAGCAGCGCTGGAAGGACCAGGAGGCCGCAGCCGTGACGCTAGACAAGGCCAGGTCGCCGCCAGAGTTTAAAGACAGGTTTATTGAGATGGTGAAGGCATTGAAGAATGCTGCTGACCTTCCAGGTGAGATGCATGTTATAGTTAGAGTCTGATAAATGGGTAATGCTAACGAAAACATGTAGCATGCATTTTACCACGAATTGCATTTTATCGTCCGTTATTTTACGTCAGCTGTGTATAACACTTGCAATTATGTTCTGAAAATAACTTTGCTTTTGATCGGTGAGTGTTTGGTATGCATCGCTCAATCTGAATGTCACACTCTCCGTGTTCGTTTGCAGAAGGTCTCAGCTCGCCCGACCAGAACTTCTCCGCAGTGATCCAGGTAGTCCTACACATTCTACACACCCTACCGATGACGGTTCTCAGTCGCAAGTTCGTCAAGCGTCTGATCAAGCTGCGCTTCGGCAGCTCGGCGCCGCACGATGCGGACGCTCTGCCATCGGTGTTTGAGAACGAGAGTCAGTTGCGTGTGCTGGAGGCCGCTCTTGCCAGCTGTGAGGAGGCTGAGTTCGGGAAACTGCAGCGGAAATACTTCCTGGGCCGTCTGTCGGCGCTGCTGGGGGATAACGTGACGGCGATCGCCGTGCAGCGCATGGTGGAGGCGTGTCCGAGCGGCGACCTGGTGAGTGGTAGCTCCAACCGCCTGGCCGAATAAATAACGGCCAGTGCTGGCTGACTCCTGATTTCAGTACCTATGAGTAAATGCCATGAAGGTTTAAGTATGTTGAACGGTGATATATCGGTATACATAGCAGGATGCCTAATAAGATGAAAATATGCTTCGTTTTTCCGTGGTATTTTTCTCAATTTATCAGACGTGAGTGACCTTCGGGCTCGACATCGCAGTAAGCATTGCTGCGCTGCCTTCCCGCCTGTACTACTGTCCGCCCCAGCCTGACATCCCAGCCACCTGACAACATCGCTCACTAACTGATAACACGTCCGTCCTCTACCACTGACCTGCCTCTCACCGATGCCGCCGCAGCTGGAGCCCGTGCTGGACGAGCTGGAGGCTGGCGAGTCTCCAGCGAGCTGGTGGACCTCGTCTCGTCTGCCGACAGCACTGGCGCAGGCCTGTGTCCGTCTGCACAGTCACCAGAGTCGGCTAATGAAGGTGGGTGAGGCAGAGGCGGGCTAGCCCAGCTCGGCTAGAGCAGGCCTACTCAGGACTGGCTGATAAAGGTGAGACCGGGACGGGTCGGGTTATCTCAGCTCGGTGCTCACTGCAACGGGTGGCCGGTCGAACCTTGTTCATGAGAGGGACTGGGAAATGTTCCTAACCAGGTAGCAAACAAGGAAGCTGTGTTTTTACGAGGAGGTGTCGCCCGGAACGAGTTTTCCTTCCAAGAACGCCAAGTTTGTAGAGCCTGACCTGGCCTCAAACGCTTTTGAGAAAACGTTTTATCGTCCCCTTTCCGTTTGGCCCCTGATCGAGCTAGAACTTCGTGGAAAGAACGAGCGTGCTGCCCTTGACGAGAGGAAGCCGATGATAACCAATTTTAAGGTTCTAGGTCATTGGTTGACCTTCCATCAGGTCAATGACCCAAAAGTCGGGAAAACCGGGACTTGTTAGAACGTCATAAAGTGTGGCTGCATTAAGATTTTTCGGGGTGCTGATCACGAATATCATGCTAGTTTTGATCACAGAATACAGATGATGTCTTTATGCATTCAGGTCAGGTCGGGTCAGGTCAGGTCAGGTCAGGTCAACCAGTAGGGGTCCTGCCGGGTATTCGTAATACGTGTCAATCGCCTCTGACAGCTTCGTAACATCATGGATTAAGTACTCCTAATCCATGGTAACATGTTATGAAAGCACCAAATCTACGTTTTAAATGTTCAAATAGTTTCGAAACTCGAATTCAGCTAAAAAACAGCCTAGAAACACGTAAAACTCGAAAAAGGGAACCAAGGTTATCAAAGTTCAATGACCTGACCTGATCTTCAGGTGACCTTGACACCTACCCTAATTGGGTCAGTCATGACATTTTTAGGGTAGGTAGGTGTAAAATTACTAACTCCTGGGTACTAAAAGTTCGTCGTGACCGGCCGATTTTACGCGAGTTATTCGCGAAAAAATCGAGGGGGCCGTTCGAGCCCCCCCCCCCCCCTTATACGGGGGAGGATTAACATCTCAACGGTATTTATTTTCTTAACCTTCCAGGCAGTGGGGGGGGGGGCATTTTTTGTCCCCTCCCCTTTAGTTTTTTCGATATATCTCCAGAACCGCTACGCCGATCGTCACCAAACTTTCAGTACCCTCCCGTGAATAGCTGTTGCACATTGTGACCAAACAATATTCCAAAGGCTATGATAGGTTGGCCGCAAATGACGTCGGAGTGACTTCATTTCTGCCATTTTCGACAAAAAAAAGGTTTCGCGGGAAGAGCTGTCAGGCCTACAGCTTTAGAGATACAGAAAAATGTTTCAGATATAAAAGGTGCAGAATCAGGAGGGCTACAAAACTGCTATCTCGGATTTGTGAAATTTCTGGATTTTGACCCCCAAAAATAAAAAAATAGATTTTTTAAAAATATAATAGCCGAAAAATCCAAAACGTTTTTTTGAATTTCGAAAAAACGGAATATCTGTGACAATCCCTACTGCCTTCTATCTACATACCAAATTTGAGATCGATACCTCTTATTTTGGGCAAGTTATATTATAGCGAACAAACTGTTCAAAATTGATGACGTCAAATTTTCAAACTCAATTTTTTAGCAATTCTAGACCTCGTAGCGCAACACAAAGACCACCATTAGACTTCCCGTGACGAACTGCATCGAATCTATACCCATTTTATGCAAAGCTAACAACTTTGAAATTTGACCTTTTTGACCTGACCCTGACCTGACCTTGACCTGACCTCCACCAGAAAGTGACCTAAACCGTACCTGATGGTCTTATAACCAAGATTATTGAGTTGGAAATGAAAAATTAGCCATAAAACATGCATCGCACAACCTTAGTAAAGTTGGGTTCATGTGGTGACCCTTGGTGACCTGACCTGGTATGACCAGTGACCTCTAATAGCAACATATTTACTAGACAAATGACGCCCTATCGCTGATTTTCGACAACGTAGGTTTTACTCGGTGTCATAGCGCTTTCCCTAGAAGACCCGTTAACGGTGAAACATTTTATCTTTGACCTGACCTGTGACGTCATCAGTGACCCCGAGGTCAACGAAATTTGGTTTCCTTCGACAAATTTGACAGGGCTATCGAATGCCGTTTGAATTTTCCGGATGCGTCCAGTAGTTTCGGAGATACGGGGGGGGGGACAAAAATGCCCCCCCCCCCCACACCCCGCGGAAGGTGGCCGGGAGGCCCACCGCCTGCCGGGTTAAAACTTCTACAAATTGCGTACAAGCAAAGCAATATCAGCGAAGTTGTCTTCTCACACACACATTACACTGTTGGCTAAGAAACCAGTTGTCTTTCTCAGGCGACACATTTTGTAGAATAAAACAATTTATACGGACTCCCTCGGTTACTTTTGGCGCATTCATTGTCTTTGTTGTTCATACTTTAACTTCATCCCTACCGTGTCCTCTGTCTGGCGGTCGCTGCTACCTTTTACAAAGAAAATGCCCCGTAATCAGGATTTCCGTTCGGGTGTCTGACCTTGCCGGCGGTGGCGGACGCACCCGCCCTGTCGCCACGCTCGCTACCGCCTGGTGCCGCGTTCATTAACTCGCGTCCCTGAGGAGTATAAAGTCGCGAGGAGCACCGTCACGCCGTGCACTTGTCCTCTGTCCGCCATGGCACCGCTACTCACCCAGCTGAGCTGCGCGGCGCTGCTGGCCGCGCTGGCAGTGACGGCCGTCCGAGGCGAGACGGAGCCGCCACCCGCGTCACCGACGGACCAGCCGGCCTGTCAGGGCGATCTCCAGGACCTGCTGCAGGGCACGGTGGAACTGCTGAAGGGCCAGCAGGAGCTGCGCCGAGAGCTGGCCAAGGTACGCCGCCGGCTGGAGGCGCTGCAGCCCCAGCTGGACGAATGCCCCGACAAGTGGATGGCCTTCAACGAGAGCTGCTTCATCGTCGGCGCCGACAACCGTACGGCGGACGGCGCGGCGGCCGCGTGCGCCGAGCTGCACCCGCGCGGCCGGCTGGCGTCGCTGGAGCTGGAGCACCGCTATGATGTGCAGCATCTCCTCCTGGACATCAGCCCGTTCATGCGCTTCTGGATCGGTCTGCGTCTGGACGAGGCTGGCTGGCGCTGGAGCGACGGCACGCTGCTGACGGAGAAGGGGGAGTGGATGCCCCCGGCGCCCGGAGATACAACAGAGGAGGAGTGCGCCGTCTACGACCGCTCCCACGCCCACCCGGGATGGACGTTCGGGTGGATTGATGAGGACTGCAACAGCCTGGCCGGCTATGTGTGCATGATCGGACGCTGACCGGTCACCCCAGCCGTGCGGACAAAGGACCGTGACGCAGGCGTTGACCGACCCTTCGCTGAATGGCCGCCCGCTGCCCGACCGCCTCTGCCGTGCGTGCAGAGGGTGATGACAATGGCTCGTGGAACACAGCTGCGGCGCATATGTCTGATGCTGTGTGAATGCTGGCAGTTCTCACTCTCCGAATAATGGCCTGAGACAAAAAAATGTGTGGCTGTTTTCAGATCCACTGTCCTGTCTTCAAAATAAGACATAAGTTTGTGGCAACGTGTTGATGGTGTGTTCATGTGCTGTTGATATGTGCTCTTTTCAGGTATTGAAATACATTGTTCCTCTGTCAACGTTTTTTTTTTTCTCTCGAAAACTTTGCTTTTCTGACGGCAGAACTTTACTGAATCCGATCTAGAGAAAACTGGTATCGTTTCGCCTGATCATTTTACAAGGTGCTGAAACGAAACCCAATAAAAAACAGAGGGCCTGAGAGGGTGTTTTCAGTAGGTATAAAAATTCATATTTCTTCGCCGGGGAGTGAGGTATGTAGATTAAAATGGGGTGTTTGTCGACAGTAGGTAAGTCAGCTATCTCTCGGCCATGCTAACCCTAGGTTCGATTCCCACAGCTGGCGGCGCGGATGTGAATCTGCTGTCTCTCGGGGTCCTGCAGTCAGGCCCTAACCTTAGGCTCGATTCCCACAGCTGGCGGCACGTGTCTGTGACTGCGAGTCGGCCGACCGGTCCTCTCTGCTGGCGCCCTGTCTGCTCTACCGGTGTACGTGGACCGAGTTCGCACGGATTCAGCACCAGCTGACGTCTGTTGAGATCTCCATGGATGGCTCGCTGCTGGTGCAGGCCCTGCTCAAGTTCTCCAAACCCACCAAGGTGAGCGCGTGCTGCACTGTTATAACAATAACAGCAAAACTCTCGTTCACCTCACCAATAATGTGACGCTTCTTTGCGTCTATTTTGCGTTGCGAGATATTTTATTGATCAATCGCAAGCAGCAAAGTTTTGAATGTCTGTTTCATTTTTAAAGCTTATATATGTGACAATCAATCGCCCCGCAAATCTCTGTCATTGTCCATCGTCTTCTCCTGCGTACAGTTCATAACCAGCTCGGATGCCCAAAATCTCGAGCCCCTACTACCCTCAACATAATCTATGCCCAATTACACCTGTCCTGTGCGATCTCCCCTGTACCGGGTGTGACGTCACCCGCCGTCTGCTGACGTCACTGTGTCTCTGACGTCACGCCGACAGCTGATCAGCAGCCTGCTGTCACTGCGCGCCGACCAACTGTCGGCCATCATCCAATCACCGGCTGGCAGTCACGTGATCGACGTCCTGATGACGTCACCGCACATGGGCGACAAGGGCAAGAGCCGTCTGCTGGAGAGTCTGAAGGTGGGTAGGTCACGTGGTCAACAGCGTCAGGTGGGCGACCCAATGGGTTTGGTATAGAAAAATAGTTGGAGATCAACTTTACAGGATGTTGGCTTTTCGCCCGCGGTATGAGCTACCTATTGAAAACGGCGTTATTGAAAACGGCTGGCTGTATTCCTCTTGCGCTTCTCTTTTTTTTTTTTTTTTGTTCTGGGCGTTGTTTCACGGGCTGCTGCTACCACGCTGCTATCAAATTGCGCGAGCTGACGTCACACTTGTGGTAGTGTTGGAGCAATGGGCCTGTTGATGTCTCCATGGAAACCCAATTTGACAAGTCGTAAAATCGGCGTGCTGCTATCACCGGTGAAACAGGGCCCTGAGTGGAGCGGTACCTACTTACGCTCACCTTTGGTGCCTACCTGCGAACAACAGCTCGAACATGTGCTCCGTGACAGTGGTAGGCGTTTAAACTTTAATAGGCCCCGTGAGCCTTGTTACCTGTTCCCTGCGCTTAACTTACTCGTTTGGATCGGAACTTTGCCAATGCAAAGTTCCGATTGTGACAGATGGTCAGAGTGGCTCCAGATCGGTGCAAATCACCGAATTTCAATATTTCCCCTCCCCCGATCTGTGCGTTGAGCGACGGTGGCGCCAGATTCGCCCCACTCGTGTACCGCCCGTGGTGCCACCTACCCCGCGGTGGACGGCATTTGACCACCAGACCCTTAGCCAAATGGATGGCCAGTGGCCAGTAGCCACTGAATTGACCGTTGGCCAATGGGTTCGGTAGGCATGAAAGACAATTTTAGCCTTTTCATAATCTTTACGCCCATGGCCCCATATAGTAAAAATGCTCAGAATGTCAATGCGTGCTTTTTGGCCGGGCCAGTAACTTGTCCGGTGCCCTCAGGGCTGCTTCACCGGAAATGGCGAGTTTCTAGGAGCTTGGTGCCTATCTATTTGGGTTCAGAGCTGCGAGCGGTGGCACTCTGTTCCAGTCTCTTCAGAGTAATGGTCAGTACCCCCTTCCCCCCGAATCACGGCATATTGGTTGCCGGGTTTGTGGTCACGTGGCACAAAAGTAAGGTTAATGGCGATAGAAATGGGATGGCTGATGTTGTAGGTTTCAAATTCAGACCGGTTTGAATTTCGTGCATTGTCGCACTGAAAGTGTGCAGACTGCAGAAATATGCCGTTAATTACGAGCGAGCGAGCGCAGCGAGCGAAGTGAAGTCTTTTCAATATAACGGAAAAATCTCAGCATGAGCGGCCCGGCCCGGCCTGTAACGCTTTTGAGGGGCTTATATTTCAGCAACCGCTGGACCGATTGGCCTGCGGTCTTTTTTGCTGGGTAGCCCCATCCCTTCTACCCCGTAATTGACTACTTTTGATACATCTCAGTGACCGTCGTGACACGTGCCACGTGAGGGTGTTCAAGCCGCTTTGCAAAAGTAGTGATTTTGAGAGGCTCATATCTCAGCAGCCGCTTGGACGATTGTCTTGCAATAATTTTTGTAGGGTAGATGCATCCGAACTACCAAAGGTTGGATACTCTTGATCTATGTGAGTGACCCCCACTGCACGTGCAAAATGCAAAAAGAAGAGGTGCCAAATTTATTCCCATTTTAATAACTCTGTAATTACTGGGGCGATTTCGCTGAAAGTTGGCATACAGGTAGGCACCCACCAGGCAATGCATTCCCATGTGTTGCGGTTAGGGTGCTACTGCACGTGCGCACGTGCAGGGGGCGCTTCCAGATCTCGAGAACAGCTGGGCCGATTGCGCTCAAATTTGATACACGGTTGGGGACCGGTTAGTAGGGTGCCGTGCAAAAGTCAGTTTGGACCCCGTTTGCACGTGCGCACGTGCAGAATGCCGCTTCCAGATCTAAGGAACGGGTGGGCCGATTGCGTTCAAATTTGGCACACCGCTAGCGGCCGGTTAGAAGGGTGCTTTGCACAAGCCCGCTGGAAGTACCCTCTCGCCCCTCCGCACGTGCAGGGCTCATTATGTCGCTCGCTCGTTCTTCGCCCAAAAGACGTTTTACTGGTGTTTAGTTGTACCCTAAAAACCCGCCAATGTGTCCTGCATCTTCTTTAATCTCCGCCGGGCCCCTCCTGTTCAATATGTATGTACCAGCTGACCACACCACCACAGTGGTCAATGTTTTTTTCAGTGTACCCCAGCCCACGCCTGCCTGGTCTCAGAGACTGTTTATGGCGTCATTGGCACAACATTACAGTCGCCTCTGACAGTGTTTGCCGCGGGAAATGCGCTAACTTATCTGATGGAGAGCCTTTATAGAAATGTGGGACATATGGGAGGTAGTGCATTGCAATGTTCAATTCAACTCTAGTGACTGTTTGTCTGTCCAGTATTCTACATTCAAAGGGCGGGTACACAGGCTGTATGGTTCACTTTTCAGGTGCAATGAAAGGTCCGTTTTCCAGTTCAATAACAGTTGAATGCCTTTTGTTGTTAGCCGGGGAAGGGGTGTGGGCTCAACTACGCAATGCGCGGCAGTAATCAATGATATTCCGCTTGTGAAAGAGTGTTCAATAGCGAGCCGTTCGCTGTATGTGAGTGACCTAAAAGTGGTCATGTTTTATTTCAGTAATTAAGAACTGATGTCTGCAGCGGTTTGATCAATAGCTCGGCGATTGCCTATACTTAACCCGCATAACTCCCTTACCAGAAGGTGGTACGTTGTATCGTTTCTCCTCCGTCAGTAGAACTTACATAGCTGCTATTGATTAGCCAAACTTAGCGGCAACCAACGAACTTCCACCTGCACGTGAAATAATAAATCCGGTAACGACTCGCCTCGTTCATGTGTGATCGTTGCGCTAATCCCTGTCCGCCGAAAGTGTAATGCGATTGACTGGTATACGGTTGGCGTGTCGACTGGCAGTGCGGCCGCCCAGGTAGGTGTCTGTCGGTACTAAGCAGTGTCCGACATCGCACCGCCGCTGTACTTACCCCGCGCTGGGCCGGGCTGTCTCCGAACAGCGGCTGTCTTTGTGTAATCAATGAACACAGACCGGCCGATTCCAGCAACGCGAGGTCAAACCTTCAACCGTCCATTGTGGGGAAACCATTTCGATATCAAACAGCCATACTCTGGCTAAAAATAAACCGAAGATAACCTTTTATTGGTATGCCATAGTGGTACCGGGACTCCCACCACTTTTACCGGTATCGCGATAAGTCCGAACTTTTCATAAAACAACACTCAACTTACGTCATTGGGGAAGGGGTTGGAGATCGTACCTATCTGTGTTGTGGTACCGGTAACATGGTTGGAAATAGTTGGAATGGATCAGCGGTGGTAACGCGGGACTGGCATTGGTCTGTTGGTAATGTAGGCGGAATAGGTCTATTCACCAACACCAACATTTGTTTTGACGTGATATAAAGTTGAGTCGACCAGATTTAGACATTTGGAAATGAAAGCACACTGCACAATAAGCGCAATTTATTTGAGAATACGTGTATGGAGCTTTTTTCCAATGTTGAGGACGGGAAAGCAACCACAGCTCATCGAACCTTTTGCAGGGAAAGATCCGACTGACGTGAGCCCACGCCGCATTACTTCGTGGAATTAGTCCACGCATTTAGAGCGACGTTGCTTCTCTTTTTGGTGGCTTGGTTTTAGTCGCACAGCTTAGGAAAGCAGGATGCTGTGAAATACTGCACCCTGCTAAGAAAACAACCTGTATGTCAATCAGCTCGCGGTTTTGTATCAATTCGAGCAGCATTGCGGTTTACTCCGGCGTCTTACAGTATACTCTAGGGCAGAAACAGACAGAATGTTTGGCATCGTTTACTGCCGGCAAACGGATGCCAAATAAACGTAAGAGCCTTTCTATGTTGGTGGGCTGTGCCATCGCCGGCCTGGGACTGTAGTTGTCAGTTTTGTTGCTCTCGACATAATCACAGTGGAAAGCTGGTTTGCATGTCATTACGCGGCATTTATTTCAGCGGTCGTTGCTAGCTGCCTGAGCCGACAGGACAAATACTTCGGACGTCAATCTGCAGCATGTTATTTGCAATATCCTTGGGTGCTAATTATACGCTTCCTTATATCCGTATTTTACACGATTGAGTTTCAAGTGAATCCCTCTGGTCAATCATGGTTGAACTTAATTCCGCTCGATTTTAATGGTGGACGTACCGGAGCATTTCGCCTAGAGGTGGCAAAAGATGAAAATTTTGGGAACCAGACTCGAACCAGACCCGACTGTACATTTCTGGAACCAGTCGGATCAGGTCTAAGCAGACTGGTTCTTTGGACCGGGTCCTCGGGTCCACATTTTGCCACCTCTAATTTCGCCACCTCTGAGGGACAGTCTGTAGCTCCGGCCGGGTGAATCTGCGCCGCAGACGGGGGCTCCATTCAGTCCGTCCGCTGCCTTCCTGGACATCAGAACAATGCGACCGCCCCCCCCCCTTCCCAACCCTCGTCACAGCGCGCTGATCTGCCCCCTCCCCCCACCGCCCGAGATTAGCACTGATAATCCCATCCTCTGGGTACCCGAACAAAGCCTTTGTGGCACCTCGCGGAAATGTGCCCCCCCCCCCCTTGCTCCACGGCATTCGAAGTATCCGTCCCCAGGTCATCATCTATCCCCCGGGGCTGTCAGAACTCGGCACCGGTAACTCTCGGACAAGACGCCATTTTATGGCCGCCGGCGATTGATTTTTCCCGGAGGCTACTTACGGCTGGTCACCGGCAGAGTTTTGTGGGCAAGCGGTTAACAGTGTCTGGTGTAGACGTGCGGTTATATACAATACTGAACGAGGCCGGTGTAAATAAATTTTCAAGACCGAGGTCCTTACTGAATTTTTGAACGAGGCCGAAGGCCGAGTTCAAAAATCAGTAAGGACTGAGGTCTTGAAAATTTATCACCGGCCGAGTTTGGTTACGGAGCGAGCGAAGCGAGCGTAGTCTTTCCTTAGATTAACGGAAATTTCTGAGTATGAGCGGCCGGCCGGCCGGCCGGCCGGCCGGCCGGCCGTGGTCACGCTTTTGCGAGGCTTATATCTCAGCAACCACTTGACCGATTTACATGCGGTAATTTTTGTAGGGTAGCTTCATTCCTTCTACCAAGTATTGGACTGTTCCTGATGCATGTGGGTGACCCCTTATGCACGTGCCACGTGCAAAACGAAGAGGTGTCACTTTTGTAATTGTTGCAATATCTCGGTAACTACTTGGCCGATTGCGCTGAAAGTTGGCATGTAGGTAGGCACCCACTAGGCAATGCATATCCATGTGCCAGAGTTGGGGTGCTGCTGCACGTGCGCACGTGCAGGGGTCGATTCCAGATCTCGAGAACGGCTGGACCGATGGCGCTCAAATTTGGTACATGGTTAGGGACCGGTTAGTAGGGAGCCGTGCAAAAGTCAGTTGGGACCCATTTTGCACGTGCGCACGTGCAGGGTGCCGCTTCCAGATCTCGAGAACGGCTGGGCCGATTGTGCTCAAATTTGGCACATCGCTAGAGACCGGTTAGTAGGGTGCCGTGCACAACTCAGTTGGAGGTACCCCCTCGCAATTTCGCACGTGCAAGGCTCACCCTCTCGCTCGCTCCGTTAGTCGCCCCAAAAGGCGTTATACTGGTATGTATTTTACTGTATGCCAACGATAAAATAATTGTCTAGACCGAAGCTCTTAGCCATTTTTTGAACGAGGCCATCCCAAAATGTTGACTTGGTAATTCGTTTTTGACCGTGGTCACTTTGCTTACACCAGTTATTACCACACCCCTCAGGCTAATGTATTTGAATAGGCCAGGTATACAGTAAACACAGTCCTTACTCCACTGGGCGTGCAGTTAACAGTTACCATCATCCTCAGTACCATGAGCGTGTGCTGGACAGTTTGATGCGCTTCGGTTTTATTCAGCAACCCTATATTTCCGAGCGAGGGGTAACGGTTGCCGTACTGCGACTTTTATGTCGAGACAATCGTTTTCCCTGTTGGCCTGCGTTGTTTTGCGTACAAATTCAGAGCGATTAGTATATTATCAGACAAGTATGATATCTTGAGCTTGCGTTTTAATTATGCACATTATGCACTTACCTATATATTGTCAACGTGTTTTTGCAACGCCTGAGACATAGAAGGAATGAAATGATTATAGCTTTCACCGTTACATGATCGGTAGATTGTCGGGCATTTGACGCCCACAGCTGACCCATTTTCGGGGAGGGTGAGGCGGTGTCGCATCTGCTGCCTCTAGATCAGCTGTTCTGATGGTCGTCCCGGGAACGGCCGGTCCGGTGGCGGAAAGTTTGATTGATACGGTGACCGGGCCGGAGTCTGAATTAGACCGCGCCACGGCCGGCTGATCGGACGACGTGCGACGCCTCGCTGCTCCCCGAGTAATGTGAGCCTGCACTCCTGAACAAACTGGCTGGAAGCCGTCACTCATCGACGATGCTCCTTTAAATAGGATCTCTAGACAGTGGCTGACAACTGGGTCGTTTACGCTTGCTTTGAGCTGAGCTATCGTCGCCAGAATTGTTACCGAGCTTGTTTTGTTGTTAGATTGACATGAGGACGTGCGACGATTGAGTCGAAGTTAATTTTGAGCTGGGTTATATGTTGTTGGGTCACTGGGTGCACGTTACACGATCTAGGTACTGGATTTGCTTAGCCATGTGTCCTTGCATTTTGCAATATGTTTTCCTTCATTGAAAATCAGTTTGTGAGTCACTCTCTATCAATAACGGTTCTTGTTTCCTTCTGAAATTATTTGCGCTTATTTACATGCCTTTTTTGTCCATACCTTTCTTCGCAACGCCCGTACTGTGTTCTTTTAGTACGGTTTGAGTGGTTCAAGCACCCGTATTTCATCTCCCTGCTCCTCTATTCCTCAAACGGCGATTGGCGGACTCGAAGCCGAAGTTTCAGCCTTCTGCCGTCAGGGGGCGGTGGTGAATTCAATAGAGAGCGACGCACCGACGTCCGTTCGGCTTCGGCCACCACTTAGCGGAGGAAAACATCCGACAACGAATAGTTGAAAGGCTTGGCCGGCCGGTGGAAAATGACCGGCCGAATTTCAGACTGGCTGCGGGAGAGAGAGGCCGGTCGAACCGAGCCGCGCCGCTGCGTCAACGGACGTGCCGGGTTTACGGTTACCAGCAAAACGGTCCTAAGTGTTCCGCTGTTGTCCAGGCTTTCTTACCGGAGCGTCGAGACAGTTTCCTGAAAATTGCGTGGACTGTCTGGGACGGTTCGGATATGTGACATTCTGAAAATGTGACATCCGGGTCCGGGACACCTATTAGGTAGGAGGCATTGATATTGGCACGCTCGAAGACATTTGAGTTATGAGATAATTCAGCTAGTTATCTGAAAGGCAATATATCATTTTTGGTACCTACGTCCTACATATATCCACAAATGTTCTGCATGATGCACTTCCCCGGGTAACACACATGATTCACTTCTGCAATTAAACTAACTGGGTGATTTGAACTGTTTCGGATATAGTGCAGCCACAAAATGCATTGACATCGGCTTGAATATTCTTACGCAGGTATCTTGAAACCCTGCGCACATTTCTTTAATGAACCTAACTCGTAACCAGTCACGTTAAAACACTGCTATTGAGCTTAAAAATCGGCAAGCTGCTGCTCTGTCATGTTTTGGCAACAGAGGGAGCTCCCCTAGCTCTGCGAGTCCTTCCCTCTGACCCTCCCCACCCCTTCTCTATCCACAGGACCAGCTGGTGCCCCTGGCTTGCTCTAAGCACGGCTCGCGCGCGCTGGACGCCCTCTGGGCCTCGGGCAGCCCAGCCCACCGCTCCTTCATCGCCGAGACGCTGGCTCCGCACCAAGAGCAGCTCAGACAGGACTTTTTCGGTAGATTCGCCGTGCGCAACTTCGCCCTGCCGCTGTTCTCCAAGAAGCGTGCCGATTGGACGGCTTACGTCAAACGGGAAGCCAACAAGCGCAAGATGTTCGCCGACCTGCTTCCGTCGTCAACCGGTAGGTGGCAGGGCCGTCGAGCGCCCGCGCAAGTCGGCTGAAGCGCTTTTTACCGGCTATTGAGCACGCCGAGAGAGAGCGAGAGTCGTTTGTTTTGCTTCGGCGCGGCGCGTCGGCGGCGTTTGCGCCAGTGCGCCGCTCTCTCGCCGGCGGCGCCAGTTATGGATCGGCAGCCCGTGTGCGGGACACGGCCGGATCGATTCCGCGCACTGGGGATTGCTGGAGCTGGCCGTTTGAACGTGCGCAGACATTGCCACGGGGGATGGGGTGCATCTCCCCGGCTCTGGCTGCGGCGCCGTGCTGCGCTCAAAGCCGCAGCCGCGCCGGTGGACGGCACGGGGGTGTTTGCAAACTGGGGTATGACTTATGGGCGGCTCCCTTCCTTCTCTCATACCAGACACAATGTGAATGTGCGTGTGCGTGTGAAAGATGGCAGGTTCTCCCTTTCCCTCCTCCCCTCTGAAACTCTGCAAGCTGAAACAGCGAAACAGCGGGTTAGGGGTGGGATGAATCAGTTCTCGGCTGCCGGCGGCAGCGAGGTAGTTGTGATGACTCTCCAGCGCCCGGGGCTATACGGACTGTTGGGGGGGGGGGGAGGAGGGGGGCAGAGATTAGCACCGGCTACACACGCGCACCCTGTCCCGGCGGGGATTACGGCAGAGCCGCAGCGTTAAGACGGCGCAGCGCCGGGCCGGCACCCTGGCACGGGCCGCCGGGCGATGGAGGTAAGGAGCAATGTTTCTCCGGGCTGAGAGGGACTCGTGGATATGTCCGGGTGTCTGGTGCAGAAGGTAGGGCGAGGGCCTCGATTCCCATATAATTTATGGGCGCCGATGACCACTGTAGTACGGGTGCCCCCCCCAAAAAAACCCTTATTTATCATCCCATGTAATTTCGTGACTTTTTATGCAAGCTTATCTTATCATTCATTGATTTAACTGATTTAATACAAAAACAAATTGGCTGTTGTATGCTAAAGGACCAAACTCAAAAGTCATTTAGTTGTCACTTTTGGTAGCTTTGTAAGTGGCCCACAACAGACTTAAAGCGATTTCAAAGACTAAAGTGCGACTTAAAAAAGCACTAATATGTCATCGCTATGTTGTATCTTAAATTGTAGTATATTTTTGACACTGCTGAATTTACCACTTTGAAGTACGATAACCAAATTTGATACGAATCTTATTTTCTGGGGCATGTGATCTGGACGTTTTAAAACACAAATCATTTAGTGAATTTTTAAAGTCAATAGCCATTTTGCTTATATGCGTACTTTGATGCACGTAGCCAGCTTATTTTTATGCATTCTATATTTTAGGGTGTGCGCAATGCGCATGTCCATCTCTTGTTATCAATACTTACGAAACAGTTTCGTGCAAAGCACATCGTTGGATTATCAGGCTGATAAAATGATGGCACTCCTATTTAACGGTATTCTTATTTGATGAGTAAGTAAATTTTTAGTATCTGAATTCTGAGGTATGTCGCGTGAAGTAAACGTTGTTCCTTTCAAATACATTTTTTATAATAATTTTCCAGCTCCGTCCCTGTGTACCGACTGAGAGCTGACATTTTCCACAAGCAAGACTTTGGGGGCATTAGGATGATATTGCAAATTCAGGCCGTACCGTAATTTAGAATCAACCTGTGCGACCTGGTTGACTGCCGTGTTGCAGACATAATATCCATTTTCGTTTCTATTACCCTCCTTACAGCTATTATTATCTCCATAAAACGCCTTTACCGATCAAGCTCATGCGAGAACTTGGTGTAGTTTCATGCAAGAATCTGGTGTAGTTTCATGATTTGAAGCTGAATGTATCCAGCCACCACCGGCCGGCTGGTAAAATACGTCCGACGCTTTAGTCCGTACTGAGGCGCTCATAGGCCGTGGAATGAGCCGGCTGATATATTCACCGAAATATAGCGGCGGAGAATTAGGCCAGCACCCTGACACCGCCTCGGTCGGGCAGCAGACTCGGGTCACGCCCCACAAGGTGAACGGAACGCACTGGGACGCCGCGGCGGCTCCGGCGCGGCGCCGCGCCAGATTGGCGACACTTCTGGCGCGATTCATTGTTATTGCGTGCCGGAGAAAATGTGACAAAGGGCCGCCATGTCGGAGGTTCGGTGTCGATGTGAGCACCGACCGACGACCTACCACCGGTTTTGCCCGGGCCTGGTCTATTAATGGCCCGCTGCCAGCAGCTGCGGTGGCCGACTCCGCACGTCGCCGCATGACAAGTTTTGTCCGACTAACGGCAGCTAAATACAGTGTCCAAGACTAAGTTTTAATTGAATAACTACCGCACTGGCTCCGCTGACGGTGAACAGTTCGGCTACATTAACTAAGCATGAGCTGGTACGGCCTAACCGATATGGTTGGAGCATCATGATCGCGGTCAGGCAGCCGCGTTCCATGGTTCTGGCAATCGGCTCGTCGTCGTAAACGGCGCCCCATGGGAGGAGTGCAGTGGGCTCCGACTGTGCGGTGTTTGAAGAGCTTTCGGTCGGCACGAGACAGGCCAACGACACCCATATATCTGCGGCACGGGACGCGGCGGAACTGGCATTTTTCGGTCACGCGATCGGTGTCGGTGCGCTGACGGGGCTGTAAACGGCCGCCCTGCGTACTGTCCGACTGTCCTCCGGGGCGGGGCAGGGGACGGGGGAGGTCGAGCTGGCCGTGCCGTGTACGCGGCCGTGATTAAAGCGTTCGGGGCCGGCCGGCGCCGTCCCAAGTGGTGTGCCGACCGCGGCGTGCCGGGCCTGGCACGGCGCGGTACGGCACCGGCGTCACTGATTGGGCCGCCGCACAGAAAGGCTGAAATTGCCGACCGGTCGCCGGTGCGGCCCTGTTTACCTCGGCCGAGGCTCGGTGCGGCGCGGGCTAGCGCCGCCGCCGGTCGATACGTGCTGGCTCCTCTTGCTGCGGTGATTGTGTGCCGACTGGTACGGAGCTGCCGCCCCCGCCCCCGCCCCCGCCCCGCGACCGGTCAGCGATTGGCGGCGCGTCCGGCCGCTCCAAAGGCGCGCTCCTCGGACCGGCCGGCGCTGAGGGGATGTTTGGTTGGCTCGGTCGGCTTTTTCGCCGATCGGCTCGGCCCGGTGATTCGGCCGGATCGTTACCAGAGCCAGGCACTGATTGTTGAAGCGGCGATCGACTCGGCACCCTTTGATGGCTTTGTGACACGTCTTGCGTTTCGCCGACCGAATTTGAGAAATGATGCCGACGGTGAAAGGCAGGGTATTTTCGAAGACTTCTGGCGTGGAAATGTTCTGTAGCTGGTGGTGGATTCTTTGCTGCCCCTTACCAACACTGGTTTGTAGATAAAAAGCTGGCTTAGCAGCTGATGACGAAAGAGACGGTCAATACCTTTGGAAGCAGTGCTCGGCAAGTTGTAAAGGATATTTTATTGCCATTATTAATGGAAATATGCATAAGTCACCATAAATGTCATGCATTAACGAATTCTATGTGAAGAGGCTAGTTGTCTCTTTTCATCTTTACGACGATGCGTTGTGTAGGCTGATTCTGTTGCAGGCTGATGGAAGCATAGATATTTTGATTCAATTTAGGTATATATGTACTATTGGGAGCTCATTTTATCGTTTTGTGGGTGTTTGCTCACACTCAGGCTCGATACCAAATTAATCAGCATTGCTTTTGTTGATAGTAAGCCCTTTCGGCCTGATCAGGCCATTGGATATCTCTAGGATGGTAGGAAAGGGTGGAGAGTGGAGATATTGCCTGTGCCAACCACCGACGGTACGTCGCAGCGGCAGGGATAGTCCCGGTGGGACTGGGTCTCCCGTTGGGACCGCCCGCCTGCCGCTCAAATGGTCAACCCCAAAGAGGGTGTACCCAAATTCAGCTGTTGCCTTCTCCAAGCGCCATTGTCTGGTGGGGATGACCGTCGGCCCGGACGAGTTAGTGTGAGCGAGGAAACGTATGGGTAAATCCGGACAAAAAGCAAGGACAGTTGATATTTTTATCAGTATGAAACCGCGGAATCGCCAGTGAATGTAATTTGGTGGCAGGCGGTAACATTCACTGGGGCTCTAGTCAACTGCTACGATCGGATTCTATTCTTGGAACAAGGATCATATCTTGTGCTACGAGAAATCGAATCTTGTAGGTACCCAGTACCCACTTGTATTGAACTATCACAACAGTCGGTCCGTTATGTTTTGGAAGTGCAGTTGGACTGGTTGCAGAACCTCCGTTTTCAATACGCGTATTTTCCAGTCCCCATTTACGGTGCTAGAGACCCTGATGAGTGGTGATTCCATGCCGCCGAGCTCTTGCTATATCTGTATGTAGATGGCGCTGCGCTAGGCGCCGTGTGGTATGCTGTGCCGCAAGGCTGTCGAAGATCCTCTCAACAGATGGCGCTAGTGGTCAACGCCTGCCACTATGCTGTACCGCAATACACCCAGCGTCCGCGCCCCGAAAGCCGAGAGAACGGCCGTCAGGCGCTGCATTTCCTTGTGTCACGGTTAGAATGCTGTTGAACTTGTTTACGTGCAGGAGCCTCCCGTACATCTCAGAAACAGCTGCGTGGATTACGCTCGATGTTGGTACGCATTTAGTACCTACTAGGAAGACTGGGTCCAGCCATTTGTGGGTCTCATTTATCACGTCAATAACTCAATATAATTGCGTTCACTGGCTCTTGGCTCAATAGAGATCTTACTTGTTTTATTCGTATGACTTTTTAGATCGGGTTTGAGTTGCGTTCTCACTTCTCACTATTTATTTGCCCTGATTGATCTGATCCGATCGGACGGATCTGAGGTTGCGTCATGAATATTGCAAAGTTTAAAGTCTCGCATGTCTCCTAGCGATTACCCGTTTAATAAGGTGTGTTTGGTGTTATGTGTACTGCAATGCACTCGATAATTTATGGAGCAATGTGCTGCCAATCACCTCATGCTGTAATCGGAACCCCACTTTCTGTCCTCATTTCCGTACAACGGAGACCGATTAAACCATTTTA